AACAGCAATCTTGTTAATTTGTATTAAAACAAGACCTAAACTGTGAGGTGACTCAGCTGTTAAAGATCCCTGCCAGCATGCAGAATGGCCTGGGTAGAAAACAGACTCCTGAAAGTTGTCCCCTGACCTTTTACAACATTCACCATGGAAGGTGTACACCTGCTCAAATACACAGACAGAGAAACAACGCATACACACACACACACACACACACACACACTACTTTTCAGTCTGATCAGGAGAGAGTTCATTCAGCAGCAGTTCCTGTCAGTTCTGAGAGAGGAAGGACATGGATGCCACTTACAAATAGTCTACACATAGCTGTTTCATTTACAAAGACTTCAAAATTCAATTATGCTAAGAGAGTACACTGAAGGCCCATGTGTTCCCCATAACTCTCACCACCACAGATAAACTCTGAACACTAATGGAGATTAGCTTTCCTTCAGAAAAACCTTAGGGTGCTAAACAGAGAACTCAGTGCTCAGGGGCTAGAGAGGGTATTTCTCCCGAATCATGTCATATCTCTGGGCCCTGGCATCTTAGTCTCCTCACAGATGAATAAAAGTTTCTTTCTAATCTGAAATAAAAATGAAACCAGGCAGCCATGATATGTACCATTTAGGGTCCTATGTCCACAGACACAGGACATTTTAACCTAGAAGAAAACAAGTAAATGATCTAAAATAAAGATGCAGATAGGCCGATTGTTCATTCCTGAAATCCCAGGGTCTGGGAGACTGAGGCAGGAGGCTTGCCACCAGTTCAAGGTTAGCCTTGGAAGTATATTAAGAGCTATAGAGTAAGAGTCATTTTCAAAAATTGATTAACTAGCTATTTAATTAACTGCATTGAGTTGTAAAAAGGTAAGAGTCACATTGGCTGCTCATTTGGTTAGAAAGCTACTTGTGAGTTTACTCAGAAACAATATTTCTAAGCTGCTGAACCCACTTGGCTCTACGCAAGTGTGTTCGTGACCAGAATATTGCCCACAGGATGCCAGCAGCTCTGATGTGTGATTTCACCAGGCAAGGAACTTTCCCAACTCAAAGCTCACACAGCAGCAGCAGAAAGACTAGAAAGAACATCAAAATTCAATTTACCACAACACTAAGCTATTTTTTGGATTCTCACATCTCCGCTTCTGTTCTTTAAGATGATACTTCTACCACGTCAGTGGACTGCTACACAAATTCATTAAGTTGTGGTTAAGAGATTACAGCCACCACCCACTGTCACAGCCTGGAACCACCTTCACACCCTTGAAACAGAAAAACAAGGTCTTTCATGAAGTAAAGTGGGAGAACACCGAAGAAAATTAATATATTGTTTTGTCTTCTTGTTGTTCATGCCAGCCCTGGACACCCCTAATCCCTCTACAACCCTGGCCACCCCTAATCCTTCTACAACCCTGGCCACTCCTAACCCTTCTACAGCCCTGGCCACCCCTAACTCTTCTACAGCCCTGGCCTCCTTCCCTAACCCTTCTACAGCCCTGTCAATTTAAATAAGAACTAAAAGGTCCTCCAAGCAACTTCTTTTACAGGTCAATTTGAGGCTTTCCCTCCCCCAAGAAAGCAATGTTTACCTTTTGCAAAGTGTTTTAAATCAAGAAAAACTAAATCTGGAGTTTCATCTTTCACACCCTGAATCTTGGAATTCTCAGGCTTGTAATGGCGAACTGTGTTAAAGCCTGAACTACATTAATTCACTTTTAAGAAAAAAAGAGGGGGTAGGGAAACGTGTGGAGGCAGCCCCACCCCAGCACACTGTCTGTATGATGTAATACTCTCATCCCAACCCAATAGATCCAACATGGAACATCCCTGGAAGGGAGGGACAAAGTATGGAGCAAGCAGTAACCCTCTGTAAGCCCCTCTCTAAGTCCAGCCTTGTAAGTGACTTCCCTACTTACCTTCTTCACAAGATAGCCTTCCATGATCCGCTTTGGTTCCATGTTTGGTGGACAGACACAAGGGTCCACTCTTCAGACACGCCCTCTGAGGAGCTCAGTCTCCTCTGAAGGTGGAGGTGCTTGTGGGCTGCCCTTTTTACAGTGAAGTCTCTTTCACAATTTCTTTTCTGCTGGTGACTTCCTGATGACATCCTTTTCCCCTCTCTGGGGTGACGAGTCAGAAAAAGGAACTAGATAGCCGAACAGCCCATGCTTTCCTAATGATAGAAATAGTTAAGTACAGTTTAGTCAGATATTTACCCATATGTAAAAGTCCTGTCCCAAAAAGAGAAAAGAATGATAAGAGATGAACAATAAAACTTTATTGGTTGAAACTGTCCTGCTTTGGAATCGATCTTGAAATATTAAAAAGTGATTAATAAAAAATGCTAAGAAGCTGTCTCCATCCCCACACTGGCATGTACACCAGCCAGCCAGGGGAGTGCTTGTCACTGCCCCCACCCTTCATTGTTCCCATCAATCCTAGGAGCCCCAGCTATAAAGAAAAATGAAATCATGAAATGTTCAGGTCAGTAGATGGAACTGGAAAATATTATACTAATGTTAACCCATCCCCAGAAAAACAAATGCCCCATTTTCTCCCTTGTTTATGAATCCTAGCTCCAGATCTTTGGATTTGAATATGTAAACTCTTGTATATTCAACACATTAGTAACATTTTTTTTTTTGCTAAATGATTAACAAAAGTAACTGTTTTAACTTCTTGTGTCAGTGCTATTGCAGAAGCAGTGGTGCTAGCAATTAATGTAATTAAAGCTGTTATACCAGCAATAATCAAGCCCACCACCCTCACACTTTTGTTTAAAGCCTGACTCACGACTTCCAGTACTTGCAAGCTTCTTTCAGAATTCCAAGGTTCTGGGATACTCAGGGAAATAAAACAAAAGCTGGTTGATAGAGCTCCATAAATGACATGCCAGATTTCAACACACTAGCACAATTAGAAGGTGTACAATCAATACAACTTACATTAAATACTGTAGAAGAAACAAAAGTATTTTTAACTTGACAATTCAAAGAGCCTTAACACATGTTCTAACACCTGTTTGAAATCCAGATCCTGTTCCAGCTTTATCCCTTGCTAGCATAACATCATAGAGAACTTCAGCTAACTTCCAAATATGTCTCTGAAAATGTCCAGAACCAGACTTCCAGATGAAGTCTGTAAATGTTAGCCATGCATTATCTTCAAGCAAGTTACCATCATTCTGAGATGAGACCTTCTCAGCAGTGAGTTTAACGTATATTATAGAATCCCCTAGAGTGGTTTGTAGAATCCACTGGGGTCTTTCCTGGGGAGTTAAACTAGTTAACCAGCTACATAGTAGACTAGTTACGATCTGATGGCTGCAGTCAGTGGAAACCAACCTTGACTAATGGATGTGTGAAGGAGAATTCATGGAAAGAAGCTGTGTCTGCAAAAAGTCTCACAGTCTAATAGAATTTCAGTGCTGTGGAAATGTTGGAAGGTTGCAGGTACAGAGACCCTGATGGCACCTAATCTTGGGCTAGCTTTGACTCCCTAAAGAGCCATTCTCTTTCTTACCTCTGTGTGGAAAATAATATCCTATGACTGACAGACACAAAAAACCTTCTATAACTTATCAACTCAGCAGACCATTATCTTCTACTAACCCCAAGCTAAAAATGTCACCAGGTAGCACCAGAGGCCCATAAGAAAGATTTGCCCATCCTGTGTAACCTCTGTGATGTTCACGTCAATGGATTTTTGAAATGGCCTTGATTTGTAACTCTCTTTGCTCTGTTGCTATTATAAAATCTTCACAAAACTGCTTCCACATTGGAAAATTATATTTGGGGAGATCTAAATGTATGTTTGTGGACCATAGTATTTCATAGCTGCTCCAGAATAAACCATGGCTTTTATTCCTTTGAGATGGGAGCTGTTTCTTTTTATGACAGAGGTAAATGGGGATTTGCTGGAAAAAAAAGATGATCCATAAACTTGAAGGAGGAATGAAGACTGATCTCTCAGGAAGGAAGGAAACATGGCAGCTCTGGGCTTCTAGGAAACAAGAACTACCAGAATGTCATTTTGGGTATCAAGAAGACAGTAAGCCCATGGCTTCCAATCCCCACACAGTTTCTGAGCACCAGGCTTCTGATTAGCCTCACCTGACCTCAGACTCCATCTTCTGGTCACTGAACTGAATGGGCAGCATGAGAACTGAACATATGCAATAGGTTCTGAACAGTAGAAAGAATGGACTGTTTCCCAAGAGTGAGCCTCAGATGCTATAAGCACAGGGGGTAATAGAGAAGGGGGAAAGAAATCTGAGAGCCTTCAGAGTGGGGAAGAAGCCATTTGACATTTCAAAGGGAACCTTCCAGTCCATTCTCTTCCATTTTCTGCACTGTTTCTAACAGCAGTCACTACCTCTATTTTCAACGTTTTATACAAATACTCATCACATGAAATTTCAAAGGGTTGCTAACAGTTCCCCACTACACTGACATTAATTAGAAATTATTAGAAAATATAGCTAGATGAAAGAATCAACATTTGATGCCTCTTGCATAAAACAGAACATATAAAGATGGTGATTTGTTTTGTCTGACATTTTGGTATATCTAGAGAGACAATGAAAGTCATCTTTCTTGAGTTTACCTGTCTCAGTTCATGACCATTCATGAGCTTACTGGTCTCAGTTTATGTTGGATATGATGTTGCCCTGCCTACCGTCTTCATGATTTCTTAGCAACACCTGCTGGTGAGTAAAGGAAATTCTCGACGAATGCCATCATTCAAGGTTTCAATTTCTAGAAAATCATTCATTTCATCTAGATTTTCCAGTTTTGTTGAGTATAGGCTTTTGTAGTAGGATTGATGAATTTCTTCAGTTTTTGCTGTTATACCTCTCTTTTCATTTCTGATTTTGTTCATTTGGATTCTGCAACTGTGCCCTTTAATTAGTTTGGCTAAGGATTTAATCTATTTTGTTGATTTTTCTCTAAGAACCAGCTCTTAGTTCGGTTGGTTCTTTGTATAGTTTTCTTTGCTTCTAATTGTTTGATTTCAACTCTGAGTTTGATTATTTCTTGCCATCTACTCCTCTTGGGTGTGTTTGCTTCTTAGATTCTAGAGATTTCAGACTAAGTTGCTAGTATAGGATCTTTCCAATTTCTTTATAAAGGTACTCAGTGCAATGAATTTCCCTTAGCACTGCTTTCATTGTGCCCCACAAGTTTGGGTATGCTATGCCTTCATTTTCATTAAATTCTAGAAAGTCTGTAATTTTTTTCTTTATTTCTTCCTTGGCCAAGTTATCACTGAGTAGAGAGTTACTTGGTTTCCATGGGTTTGTGGGCTTTCTGTTGTTTTTGTTGTTATTGAAGACCTGCCTTAGTCTGTGGTGATCTGATAGGATGCATGGGATTATTTCAATCTTCTTGTATCTGTTGAGGCTTGTTTTGTGTCTGATTAGATAGTCAATTTTGGAGAAGGTACCATGAGATGCTGAGAAGAAAGTATACTCTTTTGTTTTAGGGTGAAATGTTCTATAGATATCTGTTAAATCTATTTGGTTTGTAACTTTTATTAGTTCACTGTGTTTCTGTTTAGATACTCCAACATATAACAAGGACACATGCTCCACTATGTTCATAGCAGCCTTATTTATAAAAGCCAGAAGCTGGAAACAACCTAGATGTTCCTCAACAGAGGAATGGATACAGAAAATGTGGTACATTTACACAATGGAATACTACTCAGCTATTAAAAATGACGACTTCATCAACTTTGTAGGCAAATGGATAGAACTAGAAAATTCCATCCTGGGTGAGGTAACCCAGAATCAAAAGGACATACATGGTATGTACTCACTGGTAAGTAGATATCAGTCCAAAAGTTCAAAATAGCCTTGATTCAACTCACAGACCATATGAAGCTTAAGCTTAACAAGAAGGAAGACCAAAGTGTAGAGGCTTCAAACCCACTTATAAGGGGGAACAAAATAATCATAAGAGGCAGAGACAGGGAGGGACCTGGATGGGAGAGGGAAGGGGAAGGAAAAAGGGGGAGGCAGGACCAAGTATGGGAAGAGAACAGGAGAGAAGTCCAAAAGGCCAGGAGAATGAATAGAAATAAGTAGCTATGGGTGGGGAACTTGGGGAACCACTAGAAAGTCTCAAACACCAGGGATTCCCAGGACCCAATGGGGATGACATTAGCTGAAGTAACCAATAACCGGAGACAGAACCTGAAGAGACAACTACCAATAGATAGGCATGGTCCCCCAGTGGAGGGATGGGGCCACCCACCCATTTAATAAAAATTTAACCCAGAATCGTTCCTGTCTAAAGTAAATACAGGGACAAAAATGGAGCAGAGGCTGAAGGAAAGGCCACCCAGACAACCAGAGACTGTACCACAGTGCAATCCATTCCATCTTCAGACACTATTGCTGATGCCAAGATGTGCTTGCAGATAGGAGCCTGGTATAGCTGTCCTCTGAGAGTTTCTGCCAGCATGTGACTAAGACAGATACAGATACTCACAGCCAACCATTGGACTGAGCCTGGGGACCCCAATGTAAGAGTTAGGGGAAGAGCTAAAGGATCTGAAGGAGATTGCAACTCCATAGGAAGAAGAACAGTACCAATTAATTGGAATCCTCAGAGCTCCCTGGGCCTAAACCACCAACCAAAGAGTATACATAGACCAGTTCATGGCTCCCTCTACATATGTAGCAGAGTACTGCCTCATCTGGCATCAATGTGAGAAGTTCCACTTGGTCCTGTGGAGGCTTGATGTCCCAGAGAAGGGGGATGCTAGAGGGGTGAGGCAGGAGTGGGTGGGTGGGTAAGGAAGCACCCTCTTAGAGGCAAAGAGGAGGGGGAGAGGTTGGGTTGTTCATGAAAGGGAGACTGGGAAGGGGGATAACATTTGAAATGTAAACACATAAAATTATTAATAAATAAAATAAAACAAAAATGTTTCAATTTCCCTAAGGAGTTTGCATTTGAGCAAATGGTATACATTAGACCCTACCCTTAGGCTGAATCACCAGAGTCTCTTCCAGTATCTCTCTTACGTAGGTGTCCAAGCTTCTCTTTAGCACTCTTCCTTCTGAATGTCCCACATTTCTGTTATAACCTTGGCAAGTGTGTAGGACATATAATTGGTGTAAGACTTTGGAATGATAAAAAAGAGATATTATGTGTCTAGAGTATAACACTATCATACACAGCAAGTCTTCTGGGTTATGTGTTCTATAATGTAACTCTCCTTGTCTAGCAGTATTTTTTATATGTGTGGGTAGCTAATGGCAACCCAAATCCTATGACTGGAATTGCATTTCAAGAGGCTATATCAAGCCCCATTTTCCTAAGTTTTTGTCCATTTATGACTAGATTTTAACACTTCCTTATTCTGTATAGCTTTGTTCGTCACATCTTTAAACAAGTTAGGATGTTGAGCTGCAATTCATTTTATTTATTCTTCATGATAGTTGCAATAATATCTCTCTTTGACTTTCATCCATGAGCTCTGGTTACTCAAAAGGACCTTAAATTTACCTGAGAAATATCACAAAATTGCTAGTACTAATCTTAAATTGAAGGGAGAAATATCCAAATCTTGATGAGTCTGAGATTTTTATTCTGTTGCAAGCTAACAGCTGCCCTGACAGTCTCATGGATGCAATAGACACACTTTTGTACTTTTGGATGGGACCAAGAACTTTTTCTTTTTCTCTCTCCCTTCTTTTCTCTCTCTCTCCCTCTGTCCCTCCTTTTCAAATAGATTGTTATTGTACACATATCAAAAGAGAGTGCCTTTGTTCGCAAGGATCTTTACCTTAAATATCAATAGAAATACCGAGAAAAACATTTCCTTATTTGTTTAAACTCAGTAGAGGGTATAAAGGTGGCACCCAGTAGATAGGCTTTTAGATCAGTAGTCCAGAAAATTCACATGGATTGATTTTGTATGCATATAATGTGTGCATAAAGGTATGTCATATATATGTCCATTTGCCCCCAAAATCTTTTCCACATAGATTTATTTCCCTTGCTTTATCATCTATGATGACCTGTTGTTGCACTCTGGAAGTAGTGACAAGTACACGTTGATCTCAGATCTTGATTCTTAATATTCCTTTCCAGTAAAAAGAACTAGAGCTTTTTAAGGAATTTGATGATTCTAAATTCTAGTATGAAATATGCAAGGTAACCCAAGAGAGTCTTGTACTGTCAAAAAATAAGGCGCTTTTAAGAAGTATTTAATTTGTGACTGGAGAGGTGGTTCAATGGCTGAGAACTCTAGCTGCTCTTCCAAAGGACCTGGGTTCAATTCCAAGCACCTATGTGATGTCTCACTACTGTCTACAACTCCAGTTTTCAGAGATGCAACAGGTAGAATCATAGTGCATATACATGCTTGTAGTCAAAGCATTGAAACACATAAAGTAAAAAAATAATTTAAAATATTTTTAAAGAAATGTTTAATTTGAAAAAGTAATAAATGAATCCAAAATTATCTGTTATGTCAGAGACAAAAATATTTGCAAGAGAAAGCAGTGAACAGAACTGAAACCACTAGAGAAACAACATACTAGGTCTACATCAGAGATGAAAAAAACCATTGAAAGAAAATATTCAATAACTTGTAGCATACAGCATTCATACTGAATTAAGTATTATGGGCAATGTAGAGATAATTTTAAATATACAAGAATAGTGTATAGGTTATATGCAAATATCATACAATTTTACATAAAGAACTGGGGCAACCTGAAGCCAATGCCTGAGGGTACCTTTGCCTTAGTTAGGGTTTTACTGCTGTGAACAGATGCCATAACCAAGGCAACTCTTAAGAACAACATGTTATTGGGGCTGGCTTACAGGTTCAGAATTTCAGTCCATTCTCATCAAGGCAGGAGCACAGTAGCATCCAGGCAAGAATGATGTAGGAAGAGCTGAGAGTTCTATATCTTGTTCTATACAGGAGAAGACTGGCTTCCAAGAAGCTAGAATGAGGGTCTTGAAGCCCAAGACCACAGTGACACATTTCCTCCAACACAGCCCCACCTACTTCAGCAAGACCATGCCTCCTAATAGTACCACTTCCTGGGGCAAACCACCACAATATTCAAGGATAACTGTATTGTATTATAGATCAAAGTATAAAGTAGACAATTAATGTGAACTTCATAAAGGAAGAGACATCATTCTAAGAATTTCAAATAATTTATGTACTAGGCTACCAAAGGAAATGAAATAGATTTCTCCACTTCATAATGATTTTTTCACCAAATAGACAGGGGGGAGAAAATAACTTTACTGTGAAGAAATATGGCAAATACTTGCTCAGCCAGTGCCTAGCTGAGTGACAACCATTAATTTTAATAGTGGTTATTCAAGTTGGTGGAGGTAAATATTTTAATATCCAATCATGCATCAGCAATTAGATAAAACTCCAATTAATTTATATTTTACAAGATTTCTGACTAAATTCTTCAAAGTGTAAAGGTCATAAAAAAGGCATTTCTGAGAAATCACCAGAGCAAAAGGAGCCTAAGAATGCATAACAGTTAAATGCAGTGTAAGAAAGAAAGGATGTCCATACCCATTAATAAAAATGCATCAATAGTAACTATCTAGTAATGACAAACGTGGTACATTAATGTAAATGATAACAATGGAAAGCTGGTTTGAGTATTCTATGATATCTAATTGCCTATGAATCTAAACTAGTCCATAAAGTCTTATTTTCATAAAAAGAAAGAATTTGTTAACCATATTCCACTCTTTTTGACTATGTATAACTGGAGGTTGTCATACGATCATTTTATGTCATTCTCTTCACAATATATCTGTTCAGGAAGGTTTGCGATTGAGTGAATCTGATTTTTGCAATAGGAACTATGCACAGTAATGGAAACTAAGGATTATAAAAACTATATTATAAGCTAATATTTTAAATGCAATTTTTAAAAGCTTAAACTTCTAATAAGCTACCCTATATGGATATATAATGCAGATCCCAGAAGCCATAGGCTATTAAATAAAAAGTCCCAATACTGGGAATATCTTTCTATGTTGTATACTTTGTCAGGGAGGTCCGCAAAATGACACAGGCTTTTGTAATTGCTCTTTGTTTACCACAGGAACTATATGACAAACCCTATTTCTGAAGACACCAAAAACTTTTATTACAAATTGTAGAAAATTAAGTTGAAACTGAGAAGGAAGCTTTCTTCTTACTGACTAGCTTTCATATGGCTAGAAGATGCTTTTCACCCTTCTGGAAGAGACAAGCCATCAATGGCCTAAACTTGCTTGGAACACTGTGAGCTATATTACCAACCTTCCAGGCAACCTTCTAGGTGCCCATTTGTAAAATAATAACATGGTTGTCATGGGGTAACTAACTTCTTTCTGCTTAGATTGGATGTCTGCTTCTCAAGAGGGAAGTTACAACTTGTTCTGTCAACCTAGTCAAAAGCCCATACATACATGGGGAGGTCCTAGACCCCTAAAGACAACGTTTGTTGTTTCACTAAATGGACATGGTATCAAACTTCTTTTTAAGCACTTTTGTTTCTAATCATGGCTTCATGCTTCTCTCTGTCTTATTCATAGATGCTTTTCTGAAGCAGGTGATGGTTAACACAGAGACTTATACCTGAAAGTGCTGAGGATAAACAAGTATTGGGTTCTCAGCCCTAAACAAGATATATATATATATATATATATATATATATATATATATATAACGTCCCCCAAGGCTCAGGGAACATTATGTAAGAGAAGCAGAAAATACAGAGGAGTGCTGCAAAATACTACCTTCTGAACATGACATGACCATGG